ATATATAGCTTTCGCAAATCTGTATCTATATACGTAGATACTCGTCCACAAGTTTAAAAATAGTCGCGCATAAATTTCCCACCAAACGTGTACTTTCTAGTTTCTATTAGTTTCCACAAGTCGTTTATGTTTCTTGCATAATATTTGGTTCTTTCTAAAATATGCATTTTTAAGCATTTATTTCATTTCTAATAACTCAATATTTTTAAAAATCTCCTAAGAAATATGATTTTAAATTGGGTGAATTGCATTTTTAACGTCATATCAATTTTAGTCCCAAGATTCTATCATTTCGCCTTTTGGTCCCGTAAGTTTATATTTTGCTGCAATTTCCTTCTGAGGACTGAAGTTGCAACAAATTCCGAATTTATATCTTTGATATTGAATTTTTATTACCAATTTAAGTCCTGTAATTTAAAATTTCGTTGCAATTTCAGTCCTCAAATATCTAAAATTGCAGCAAAATATTAAATAACAGGACCCAAAAAAAAAAGCTAGTAGCTTGAGACTAAAACTACTATGACATTAAACCAACAGAACTGAAAATGCAATTTTTGTCTATTAAATATTGGTTTAAATTGCCTAGTTAGAAGTAAATTGCATACCACGCCCGAAGCTCCTGCTGTAATAGCCATAGGTGCGGTAACTGAACTTAGTCCAGACGAGCACATTACTGGAATTTTAACTGCACGTGAGATTGAGTATGCTGCTGCAAGCGTAGGGGAAGCCTGTAATTTATTTACACAAGAAATCGTGTCATTTACTAAGCTTCTATATTTTAAAAGATAATGTACATCTATAATCGTAAAGCTAAAAAAAGTCGATAACCAAATGTTGATTTTTTCACGTTTGCTCTTTGCCCTGAATTGAAAGGTAATCGAACAATTGAAAAAAAAAACATGCGTACAAAAAATAATTCTACCTTTTCAATCAGACCAAGAACACCGGCTTTTGAAGGAGTCGAGCATTTTCCTCCTTCGGTTTGTATTATATCCGCTCCTTCTTGTTCCAATTGTTCGGCTAGCGTGACCTGTCTTGACAAAAAAATCGAGCTTGTAATAAGGTAAACCAGCACATCATTAAAAACCGATGCTCGACTGAATTAAAATTAAAACCTGATCGGGAAGGCATAGCGTATGAGGTACGGTGACTGATAACAAGACAGATGGAAGAATTCTCTTTGTCTCCTTAGTCATACCAATGATCTGAAAAATCAAACAAAACGCGGCACTGACTTTACTAAATTATCAAACAAACAATTAGCACCAGATTTTTTTAAATCCTTCATAACGTCCACTTCAATGCTGGAAACCAAGAGATTATCAAACAAACAGTATGTTTCGAAGCATGAAAACTCATACTTGGTCAGCCGAGAAAGTCAAACCGAGTTCATAGAACGAGTCGTAGTTTCCAATCTCGACCTGGGAGAAATAGAAAATGGCTTTATCATTGAATCAAAATGGGCAGTTAATCTTCGATTTTGTTACGATTTATTCACACGTCTTCGAACAAAAATGGAAAGCTTTTAACGAACAAAACGGTTAAAAAGAACGTAAATAAGCTGGTCAATTGTGATTTGTAATGAATTATTCACATGCATTAGAGTTAAAAATGTAAAAATTTTAAAACAAAAAATTAACTGACCATCAAGGCTCCTGCCTCTACGGCAGCTGGAAATGCTGCCGGATCTACAGAAGAAACACAAATCTGCAAAAAAAGAAAAAAAAAAAAATCGAAAAAGTCAATTAAAAATACGCAGAATGGAACTTGATTAGAATCGATAACCGACCATTTGAAGCTACAAATAGTTCTTTTTTCACAATGAAATTATATACAACACTAAATTATATACTTTTTGGTGGGTTTTTTTGTAAACAATTCATTATTATGAAAATACATGTTAAACCAAATGAACAGATTGTAAACACAATTGAAAGTTCATACTCATCACAGCTAACAATTGTGAAGAAGCGTGTAAAGAACTTCTTACTGGAAGAGATGTTAAGCTAGTAGCAAGTTTCACTAAGTCAGGGTCACAGGCAATATCCACATGAGTTGCTCCTCCCTGTAAAATCGAGCATAAATACGAACAAAAAAAACATGAGTTATGGGAAAATTGTAGACAGGTCGAACCATTAGACATGTATAAGTTTTGAACAAATATGCACGCTTTCATACATCAGTGATATACTTTAAAAAACACCACAATGATGAATTGAAAACAAAAAAACACTGAAAAACAAAGTAGATGTAGATAAGCATGACAATTGTCCATATAAGCATGTATATTTGTTTAAGAGTATAACAGGTCGTCCTGCCTACCCTTAGGTTACTTCCTTTATGATGGATGAAAATAGATGAATCGAAAAAAAAGAAAGTAAATAAGTATGACATTTGTTAATATAAGTATGTATTTTTGTTCAAGACAAATGACGAGCCAATCCGCGTAAGGCCATGTTTGTTAAAACTAGTTGGGTAAGCAAGCTATCATGATAAGCTAATTGTTAGGTGATAAGTGAATTTCGAGGTTATAGATGATAGCTTATAGTTGAAAAGCTAGTTGATATGATAACCCGAAGTTTATGAGATAATCCTGAGCTAAAAAAAAAAAAAAGAAAAATTGTCCAACCAACCAAGCTTATTTGTATACAAAATGCTTATAAGCTAACTAAATTTTTCTATAAGCTAGTTTTGTGCTTACCAAACACACTCTACTCCTTAACACAAGAATTTAGTCCCAAAAAAAAAAAAAAAAAAAAAAAAAAAAAAAAAAAA